ATGTTGTTTCTTGCCCTGCAAAGTAGAACAGCTTGCATTCCTCAATCACATCCTCTGTAGTCATCCCAGCATTCTTGTTCCCATGTTCTTGGTAGTGCTCTAAATTGGACTCCATCAATAAGCCTAACAGGTCATCATTGCTTGCTTGACCCAATTTTATAGCATGTTCCCTCTTCTTTATTATGCCTCGAAGAAGTGCTCGGACCTCTCTATTGACTGCTTTTATTCTCTTGTTCTTAGGGGTCGGAAGAAACCTGTATGATAGCCATTAGTTAGCGATACCCTACATATTACTTGAAAGTAAAGTTGGTTTAGCTCAATAGATTATGTGAAAAACAGAATTGAAGCAATCGGTTATTGTTTGTGTTAAGGAACCACCTGAAGATGGCAATAAAGACACGATTTTACTAAGTTATCCTAATTGAAACTTCTGCAACGAGTACCTGCTCTAGAAAATTTTACAAGTAATCATCAACTTCTGCAATCGAAAAAATGAAGAACGTTTCGATTCGTTATGTTATTGGTTGAGAGTCTGATAAAGAGGCATGGGATGCTTGTAACTGGGTGAGCAACAAAGCAAGCAGCAATCGACCAACTGCCTACTCAATAGAACCACTACACTAACCAGCATTCAGCTAACAATAAATGAAGAAACCAAAGGCAATAACTTACATGTAACCTGGGATGTATAGATTTTGGATAGACTGGATAACGAGTTCAGCCTGCTCGGTTTGGAGTTGGAAAATTCGTCTTCCTTCTTCGTAACTGCTACCAAAAGCTGTTCGTGAAATGACATCTCCGGTGAAGCTTTGGAACTCAGGCCAAACATCCAACTCGTAACATGCCTCGGAGCCAACCAGGTTCTCCCACCTGCTCATCAGATCACTACAGCAAGCACAGAATGCTGGCAACATTCGCTGTAAATGATGAGGATAAGAGAAAAAAAGAGAAGTCAATTCGTTTCAATAGGCTCGAAGGAGGCCGACATTTTCACATAAACCAAGCTACAAACAAGATTATCTCCAACAGGGGCAATGAGTCACCTTCAACTTCTCAACATGGAAAGCAGGATTCATAATCCTCCTATGTTTCACCCACTTTTCGCCTTCGTACGAAACAAGTCCTCTAAAGAGAAACCTTCCGAGGAGGATTCCTTTGGGCTTACCAAAGTGGCCGAACTTGTTGGAAAGAACCTCCCTCACCAACTCGGGATCCATAATCGTCACTCGGGGTACTGGTCCAAACCAAGTGAAGCATATCTTGCCTGCATGGATTCACGAGTCCTTCGTCAAGATCCTCTCTAATAGGCAATAAATCAAACAAGTTGATTGCACGCATCAAATATCTCGAAAACAACGTCGAAAAAGAGAGGCTTACCGTACTCGTCGATGGCGCGACGGAGAAAAGGGAGGACGCGAGGGACGATGTTGTGGGTGAGAGGCATGGGCGTGGAGAGCGCCTCTTTGTCGAGCCGCACGTTCTCCTTGAGATCGCCTTTGGGGAAGCGGTAGGGGGTGCCGTTGAGCCCCTGCGCCCGGAGCGCGCGCTCCAGCCGCCTCGGCGTCCACCACGCCCGGTTCAGCGTCCTCAGCGCCCACACCAGAAGCAGCAGCCCGCCCACACCCCACACGAGGCTCCACGCCATGTCTTCTGACACGGAATCACCCACGGCCATGGACTTACAAGAGACGGCC